GATGTCATATTTATATTTTTGTTGGTGCACATTTGGAGTAGGCTCTTAGGAAATTTAATATTTACTTGTATACACTTATACACCATAAAACATGTGTATTTTTATATATAAATTGTTATTCTATATTTATGCAAAAATAGTATGTACCTTGGCAATGATGTAAATACAGATATAAAGACAATAATGTAAAAATAAATGTTTTAGATTCTTGTATAGTTAGATTGAGTTATATAGTGTCAAGAGTTATAAAAGATTTGAAGATGTTTATTTATATACACTTGTAGATTCCAAAAGAAAATAATTCTTCTTCCTTTGAAGATAATTATCTTTTGGAATTCTATAGAAGATCCAAAAGCCAAAACATTGAAGACAAAAATAAACAATCATATTCAAATCTATATTATATAGGAATAGATAGCCAATCTTCTTGTTGGTAGAGCTTGACCCCCTTTACTTACAGTAGACCCTAGGTTATACTCTAAGAAATTATCAATGAATAAAAAATTTTATTAATACATTATCTTCCATACATCATTTCATTGTGTGATCATGTACATATTATAAAGTCCTAACTGAAATTTTCGAAAATATAATTCCTTGAGGTGACCTTTAACAGCAAACTGCTGATTATTTTTGTTTAATATTAAATATTTCTTTGATATTTCAATGCTATAAAACATAAAAATTCTAAAAAAAAACCTATTTGGCTTATTATTTATTTGCTATACAAGCAAAATAAAAAATTGCCTTCCTACTTCCTCAAAACCATCAAAACTACACTTGACTCATATTATTATTTTGCTTCTACATCATTTGGCTTCCAAGTTAGATTGGAATGATCCTTGCTCTGTTTCTGCTTTGTCACAAGGATAATTCTTTGCTTTTTAGAGAACAACAAAACATATTTATCATGTTTAAATTCAAAAATATATAACTATATATACTCAAATCATTGTTTCACAAAATCACTTACACATTACAAATGTTAACTAATTTATACATAAAATTATCCTCAAAAGTACAAAACATAAAGTCCAAACATATAATGTCATCTTCATTAAGAAATCTTTTATGATTACTTTTATAAATAAATCATAATCAAGCTTCTAGTCATTTCAAATATGTGTCAAAGCTTTAGTATGAATTTCCTTCTTAGTCAGATGTCCTAGAGTCGACTTTTATAAATCAATCATAATCAAGCTTATAACTATATAGTCTTTGAAAATTTGGTTCACTACGGGAAAACACGCGATTACCGTCGGATTTTTCGGCGGAAAGTTTTGCGCCGGTACGAACGTCGCAGGTAACTACGGAATATTCCTAAATATTGTGACGGAAACCTTACGACGCATTTGCCGGCGCATAATACGACTGAAACCTTCCGGCGTCCCCATACGCCGGTATATGCTTCGGTAAAACTAGCTCTGAACCAGTACCGTCACAAGTTACGGCGGAACTATACCGGCGCAAATTACCGACGGATCTTGTGCCGGCTTATTTAAACTCAACGACTTAATTCCGGCGCCAATTGCGTTGGTAATGTTTCCGACGTAACATGCGAAGGAACGTCCGCCGGTGAAAGCCCTATTTTTCGACACCGAGCCCCTCTGGCCGCTCATTCGTTTCCTTCCGTTCTCTCACCTCGCGTGTTTCGCCCGTCGTCGTCCGTCGCTCGCTGTGGATTGACGTCGCCGACGGTCACCGGAATTCGCCGTCGACGGTCTCCGGACTTCGCCGAGCATCCTTTCCTCTCTTTCCTGCTCGCGCGCCGCCGAGGGTCGCTCTTCGCCGACGGAAGGTATTTTGTTTCGTTTTTTTTCCTATTTCGGTTGGATTACATATAGGATCAGCCTTAAGTCCATATCTTTTTGCTTTAGTCATGGATGTTCTCACTAGACATTTGCTAGATGATGTACCTTGGTGCATGCTTTTTGTTGATGATATTCTTCTTGTTGATAAAACTAGAGAGGGAGTTGAAGGTAAACTTCTGAGTAACTTCTAAGTGAAGTTATAAACTCAAACCAAATCAACTTCTGATTATGCTAATAGATGTAAACCTCAAAACTCAAATCTAACCACCTCAGTCTACTCGAGATCCCTGAGAGGAGGCAACCCATGGCTGCTAATCAGATTCCTTGGACACTACGGTTAATGATTGTTAGTGTTGGTAGACTGAAACCTACGGTACACTCAGGACGACGTGGGATCTTGATCGGGTTTACCTATATTTTTCCCACAATTGAGACTAAAATACCTAAAAATTATTCATCCTTAATCGAGAGTTCTCTCTTACGTGTTAAGAGGGGTAATTAACTATGAGTGCTTGCGCTCATGGGAAGTAAGGACCCCAAATCTAATTAAACTCTGACACGACCCTCAGGGGAAATCTGGTTAACTACAATCTGACCCAAGGAAGATGGAATCCTATGTTTGCAAAGCGGGATTCATGCATTCGTGTCATTTTTCTTGAGCCAACAGATATGGATAAAGATATGATATATGCATAACATTGATGGTTATGTTTGAAATGAATTTAAATGGAATTACTTTATATTTGAAAATGAGCATGCATATTGTTTCAAAGGCTTTGTGTTACTATAATTTAGAAGCAAAATTTACTCTTGAGTAATTTTATAACTCACTCTTTTTATTGAAAAATAATTACAGGTATTATTTCAAAAGCTTAAAAATGAGTAGAAGATAAGAAAATGTGTATCGTAGGCGATGCTCCTAGAGAAATGTATTTATAACTTTTTATTTTAAAATATTTTGAGATTTTAGTGGCTCTTTTAGTTTATTGGAGAAAATTTTAGCTAATAAATATTTATTCAACCATCCAACAGTCTGTTCATATTAGGCCTTCAAAGTCTATGAAAAGAAAAGGTTCACTGCTAAAAGCATAAACTCTCATAATTGACACTCGTTGAAGTTAACCGAAGTATTTAATTTTATACGTTCATATAAGACCTTCAAGGCCTCTTACAAAAAAAATTCGTATACTAAAATGAATACCCCTACTTCTGATATCTATACAATATCTCTAAATAGGAGCTGAACCCGACCCTGTTTTTATAAGCTAACATAGTTGAAAAGGTTCGACTAATGAAATGACAATACCTATAAAACCCTGATGATAGTCGTATTGAATGCAAATCTCAACCGGAGGGGTCCACACAAATTTTAAAGAAATGCCCTCAAATCAAAATAAATCACCTAAACACTTAAAGTAAAATTTCATCAATTCTCTGCAACAGTTTGTCAAGGTGGATAAATTTGAAAATTATTTCAGCTCACACAGAGTGAATGTATAATCGAGAATATCACTATAATTCAGTCTCAAACCATCTTCTGCCAGTAAGAACATGACATGTGTCATCTAACCGGAGGCTTCGCCTCTAAATGACACCACAGATAAACGGTTATAATCGGGACCCTCTGACGAGGTGGTTTTACTACAAAATGATTCTACTAAATTAAGTGATGACCAGAGCCCTTATGTTCGTCAACGGCTCTAAATCTTTGAGTAATAAATCAAGAGGATATAATCGATAGGGCAAGAAGCACTTTGTTAGTTGAGATTGATTCAAAATTATCCCCTTAAGCAAACATTCACCTCAAATCTACAAGGTGCCCTTATACGAAGCAACTCATGACTGCTGACAAGGATCCTTCAATTAGGTTGGGCCGACTACCTCCTCGGACTAAGTAAACTAGGGACCATGATGACCCGGGACGATGGAACCATGGGATCTTAATCGAGTTCATCATCATTCCCTTTATCATCCGCTTTAAGTGCGTGCTGATAAATATTTCGATTTTCAATATGTAATTCTGCTACTAGTATATGCTGGGTACTACATATCTTTTCAAAGACTAGCCCTAATCAAAAGTTTTCTCTCGTTATCGGGAGGGGTAATTAACTATGGCGGCTTGTGCCGATAGGAAAACAGAACTCATATCATGAAGTCCTCGCAAAATGAGGGCAAAATCTATGGGTAGTGTCTTATCTGAAAACCCAATATGCCTTCTGAGAATTTACCCTATAACATAAACTCGTTAAAACTCCTCACCAACAGAAAGAAAAGGGTTGCGGAGAGGTCGGGCGCTAATTTTCAGAGCCCACATGTTGAAAGAAAATCTCAACATGAGAGATCTATTTTCAAAATCAAATTATCATGTTTCAAAGATAAATGTCTCAAATAACTTTAATGCCATCCCAATATGCTGATGCTAGTGTTTGAAAGCAAGGTTCTGAAAATCGGACCGGACAATGAACCGGAAGAAAGAGAGGTTCACGGTTCGACCGGTTCGACCGGTCTAACCGGGGTCGAACCGGATGACGTAATAAATAATATTATTATTATAAAAAATTAATAAAATTAACAAAATAATGAAATTTAATAACCATATAATTTCATATAAATTATTGTTATTTTATATTACATATTTAGATTTAATTTATAAACATAAATTATTTAAAAGCTCATTGAAATCTTAATCGAAGGGGATTACATTACTTTCAAATGCTTCTAAATTCCAAAGTTAGTCATTTGGGGCTTCAATTCCATTAAAAATTAAAATTTACTATTTATCAAGTGAAATTAATCTCTCAATAAATTAAGACAATTTATCTATCATTCATAACTATTTGTCGAGGGTGATAAATTTAAGAATACTTTCAACTCATAAAAAGCCAATATTTTATAGATAATATCAATAAGATTATTTTTAAAATAATCTCTCAATAAGGATGTCACGCTTATCTTCTAACTTATGGTTTTACTCCTAACTGGTGTTTGAACACTTTAGAACACCATTTTGAACATATCATTTAGTTTGTCATTTTTTCTAAACTTTTTCCAACAATTCTTGGGCCCACACTCATTAGAAAAAACCTGTCATGTTAACTATGTTGTATACAAAATTAATATTAGTAATATGGATGGTTACGCATACATAATATCAGGCGTTCTTCTGATTTCATGTCCTATGTCACTCAGATTTTGTGCGTCACCATGTCCACGTTTCTGCTTTATAGGAATTGGATGGTGGACTCAACACTTAAGTACCGGAAAACTAATAAAATTGTCCTTTGTTCAAGAGGTAAGACGATTAGTTCTTCTTGAACTGATGAAGCATGCCAACAACTAAGTTTTTATAGAATTAGGCTAATTCTAATAATTTTTTCAATATAGAAGATTTAAATTTATACAATAACTTCTGTTCAAAAGTTCATTTTTTGTTCTTATAAAGCATATTGTGCAATAATCTTCAATTTTTTTACTTGATTTTCTTCATTTTTTTCCCTAGGTACGGATCTGCCTTTTACTTTTGGATTTTGCTACAGGTATGCTATAGGGATGTGTTAGTTTCTTAGACAGACTAAATTCTTTGTTCAGTAAACTCATTCTGTGAAACACTCACGTTTACTCTGATAAGAGATGAATGAGTTGCACTACAAGTAGCGCTATGGAGGGGGTGTTTGAAAATGTAAATCAAAATTAATTATCAAGTGTCTTTTTTTTGTATCCAAGAAATTGTATTGAAGAATTCTCTAGAATATGGAAGAACTTCTCTAGTTAGTTGTTAGTTGAACATTTATTATAGAATTCTCTAGATTAGGATTCTAGAATGGTCTTTGTACAAGTATAAATAGGCCTTTGGCCTTGTCATTTTGATGTAAGAGAGAAAGAGAGAAAAAGTAATACAAGTTTCTCTCCCTTTGTCATTCACAAATATTCTCTTCTACTCTTTAAAAACATTTTATCTCTAAAAGGGGGTGCATTTTGGGGTAGGGATTTGAAAAACTAGGCATTAACAAACAAAGCCTAAGGATTTGCAATCCTTTCTCCATGGTATTTTTCAGCTTTTATGACCTTAGAAAGTATGATTTTGTAGGTACAAGACGTTGCTTCCCCAGCTTTGCAGATGATATTATTCATGCAATTCTTTTTGTGATGAATAATCACCGTTCAAGTCTAATAAATACATTTGAAGACGATGATTGCTCCAAAAGTCTAAGAATTCGTCTAAACAAGTATTCAGAGGTTATTTTCTTAATACCTATCTGATTGCTAGTTAAGGGAATGTGGAGAAAAGTTTTCTTTCTTCCAGCTTCAAATGCCTTGTAATCACTGCTAGACTAACCAGTTAACTTTTCCGGTTCTCCTCAGTTAGTTTTGTTTTACGTGACACAAATCCTTGCAGTGTTTATTGTTCCTAGAAATATTTAATGCAATACGATAACTAGCAGATGATACTGATTAGCGTATTTTTATAAGTATTTGTTTACTACTGGAGTCATGGTTTTTGTGCTTCCCGTGAAAGGTGTATGCAGCCTTATCTGTATCGACCAAAGAGGTTTCCTCTTATGTTTTAAACCTGTTCGTCAAGTTTATACTTGAATCAACTAAACTATTGCTACCATGTCAAGTACTATTCTCAAGATGTACAAGTACTAAGAAAATCTATGATGGCAGCTTCAGTTAGGGGATATGAATATCGAGTGCTGGCTTATATGTGATGGCAAAAAAAAAAGGGTTGTCTAGATTTTATGTGTTTTTTATTGGTTGTTTGAGCTTTTGTGTATTTGTGTGCATAATCTGTGATCTTCAATATTGATATTTTGAAGGCTGAATTCTCTATATCTATCCATCAAACGAGTATCATAAGAAATGAGAGGCCAATTTTCTACCGAAGGTAGTAGTCTTCTTGGAAGTGGGCACTCACTGTTGCTTGTCACACTATTCACTCTTGACATTGTCGTTCAACTATGTGCTGTCATGAGGTTGCTGCAATGGGCCGCATGATTTGTAGTGGCATTGTGGAATGTGGCGGTGAAGGGCACCATGCATTCATTAGATGTCCAAGGATAAAGGCATCAACCTAGGCCTGTGTGGGGTAATCTAGACCAGTTTGAGTTGGACCAGCTAAAAGGGGGTGCATTTTGGGGTAGGGATTTGAAAAACTAGGCATTAACAAACAAAGTCTAAGGATTTGCAATCCTTTCTCCATGGTATTTTTCAGCTTTTATGACCTTAGAAAGTATGATTTTGTAGGTACAAGACGTTGCTTCCCCAGCTTTGCAGATGATATTATTCATGCAATTCTTTTTGTGATGAATAATCACCGTTCAAGTCTAATAAATACATTTGAAGACGATGATTGCTCCAAAAGTCTAAGAATTCGTCTAAACAAGTATTCAGAGGTTATTTTCTTAATACCTATCTGATTGCTAGTTAAGGGAATGTGGAGAAAAGTTTTCTTTCTTCCAGCTTCAAATGCCTTGTAATCACTGCTAGACTAACCAGTTAACTTTTCCGGTTCTCCTCAGTTAGTTTTGTTTTAAGTGACACAAATCCTTGCAGTGTTTATTGTTCCTAGAAATATTTAATGCAATACGATAACTAGCAGATGATACTGATTAGCGTATTTTTATAAGTATTTGTTTACTACTGGAGTCATGGTTTTTGTGCTTCCCGTGAAAGGTGTATGCAGCCTTATCTGTATCGACCAAAGAGGTTTCCTCTTATGATTTAAACCTGTTCGTCAAGTTTATACTTGAATCAACTAAACTATTGCTACCATGTCAACTACTATTCTCAAGATGCACAAGTACTAAGAAAATCTATGATGGTAGCTTCAGTTAGGGGATATGAATATCGAGTGCTGGCTTATATGTGATGGCAAAAAAAAAGGGTTGTCTAGATTTTATGTGTTTTTTATTGGTTGTTTGAGCTTTTGTGTATTTGTGTGCATAATCTGTGATCTTCAATATTGATATTTTGAAGGCTGAATTCTCTATATCTATCCATCAAATGAGTATCATAAGAAATGAGAGGCCAATTTTCTACCGAAGGTAGTAGTCTTCTTGGAAGTGGGCACTCACTGTTGCTTGTCACACTATTCACTCTTGACATTGTCGTTCAACTATGTGCTTTCATGAGGTTGCTGCAATGGGCCGCATGATTTGTAGTGGCATTGTGGAATGTGGCGGTGAAGGGCACCATGCATTCATTAGATGTCCAAGGATAAAGGCATCAACCTAGGCCTGTGTGGGGTAATCTAGACCAGTTTGAGTTGGACCAGGTCTGGTGGAGTTAGATCTGTCCATTGTTTTCATTTTATCCTTTTTCTTTGATCTTCTAGTGCGCTAATTCCTATTGAATAGTCCAACACTGAATCAATCCAATCCTCACATGCCAGAATCAGATTATTTGAAAATAAGAATTAGAAGAAGGAATCCTCAGTGCTTGATGCTTGTATATTATTCCACTAGCTATGTATTCATGTGCCATCCAGCTCTATTATCACAAACTGGTACCTTTCTTTTAGAATTCATCTTATGCCTTAAAAAAATATTTATATTTTAATTTTGAAATGAGTCATATGGAGGGTCCGTTTGAGACGATTGCAGCTATTTATAAAAGTGATTATAAAACTGTTGTGGAGAAAGTTTTTTTTTTTTTTTTTTTTTTTTTGAAGTTGCTGTAGAAAACAGCTTCTTAGCATAAAAATTTCCTGAAAACAATAAAAAGTCAGTGTGCAAATAGAAATTGTGACTGCTCTCTTAAAATTAAAGCATTAAAAAAATTATTCCAAAATGAAATCTAAATTGATTTGTAATAATATTTTGCAGAAACTCTTTTCTTGTGCTGCAGGCACCTTTATTTTTTTATTAGTCATAATGAATTTAATATTCTTATATAAGTCATAATGAATTTAATATTCTTATATAATATGACTATATTATTACTAAAAACAAAAAAAAAAAGAGTGAATATGACTTTTTTGTCCTTATGTATAAAACTATAGACTTAAAGTCTATTAAAGTTCTTCAATGATAAACAAATTAGGCTATCTTCTTTTTTCTAATATTAAAATAATGATTTAATTAATTTCCAAATAAATATAATTAATTCTGATAAATATTCTTAGAGATTTTTTTTTTTTTTTTTTTATAAATATTCTTACAGATTTTTTTTTTTGAAATTCTTATAGATATTGGGTTTGTTAATGCACTAATATTACTAGAATTTAGTATGAAATGCTGACATATCAATTTAGTATTATTACCTGCCTTTCAATTCAAATAAATTTGTTATTCTTTATACAAATATTTTATCTAATTTTTAGTTCAATCAATTATTATTGAAACAAAATTATAAAATTAGTTGATTAGCTCCTCAAGACTCTGTCTCATTATATTTGAGGACAGTTAGAAAGAAAAAATAGAGAAGTTGTTACCAAGAGTACAATTTTCCATTGGAAAGATGGGAATGATGAATGTTGTTAAGGGACCACAGCTTTAAGAATTTAGTAGTGATTATGACAAAGATGGAACTTCAATCCTATTTCAAATTCCTTAGTCTAAAGCAAACCAAGCATTCATTTCACCCTCTTCTAACGACTAAGTATTAAGGAATTTGGATGTGCAATAATATCCACTTATCTTGTTCTTCTCATTATGAATGGTTATAAACTCATGAACAAAATCTTTTTACAATCATAATAAGAATAAAAAAATAAACTATAAAAATAATCATAACAATAAGGTTTCATTTGGGACAGTTTTAAACCACTTCTTTTTTCCAGTTTTTAAGAGATTTTTGTACTAAAAACTAGCTTTACGAAGCAATAATGTCCCAAACAAAGCCTAAGATAGATCACTTTTAGGCTATGATAAATAAGGATATTAAATATTATTTTCCAGTGCAAAATAATTATCTTATAATTTTGATGAATCCATTTTGAACATGTATATTATATTATTGATATATTTTTGTAGCACGCTCCTGATACAAAAGTTTTGCCTGACAAGCGATCATGTGTGGGTGGCTCATATATATGGATAAATAGATATAAAAGATGGGATGATAGCGGCCTATGCTGCTTTTTCTTTGATAACTTTTTGTTGGAAATTTGGCATGGTTAGGACTAATGGGTGAAGCTTTTTCCTATAAATTTTCTATTCTCTTCACAAAAATACATATCATATTCCAAAGAAAGTGATGCATGTGATAAAAGATAGCGGAGAAATATGTTATAACTCATATGCGAATTTAAGAGGACTTGGATCTAGGGTTATTGTCAAATAAAGTTTTCTTGATTAGTTGGACTATCAAATCCTCTAAGCAAGTCAAAATCAAGCCCCAATTCAGCTGTTCTCGGGCTTAACCCATAGGCCAAATTTTGAATGTAGCTAAGCTCAAGCTTATTCATATTTTATTTCATGTTAGTGTCTAATATTTTGATTATTAGACAAGACTTAATATAATTTGGAATTTCTAACCCAAATTTGATGGGATTTTATTGCTATTTTGATATATTTGTAATATAAGATTAATCAAATTTGTATAGAATTTGTTATTAGGTGGCTTGGTACTCTTATGTTAGATAGTGATTATCATTTAACAAGTGTGGCTTGTCCATAATATCTTGTTTGTACTGAGAAAATGGGTTAGGTCAGGATGGATCCTAGCCAGATTTCAAAATTGGGCTTAACTTGAGCTTGACATATTCGAGCTAGAGCCCCAGCATGGAGCCATATTTAGTCCAAATTCAGTTTGATTCTTCCCCTCATAAGGGCCAACTCTTTCGACCTGATTGATAAATTTACTTGATCACTAAAATCTGATGATAGTATATGAGGCTCCAACTGATCACCAAGGTATATAAATAGACATTAGTTAGTTGTAATAAGAATGGCGAGTTTAATTAAAATGGCGAGTTATGTTTTCTATTTTTATAAACTACATAAGTATGTCGATTTGCATGCAAATATATGAATTGGTTACAGGTTTCCTTTTAATATGTGATGTTGACTTGAGACAATTGTGGGTTGATCTATATTTAAGAAATAGCAGTGTGTTGATGACTGACTAAGCTTAGGCTTTAAGAAAAAAAAAATAGTTAAAATTATGCTCTATTTTTGTGAAAAAAAGGTTTATGGAGGTGTAATAGAGCTTTATACTAGGTATTGGGTAATTTTATCATGAAATATACTCATCATGCTTTAGTTGGGTAGATTATACTAAGTTAAAATTTTTGAATGAGAAAAATTCAGTTTTTCATATATTCTGATCAAAAGACTCTTTCTGAATTGTTAACCCAGGACGGGATTTTCAATTCATTTTCTATCACACTTATTTTCTTTTCAACTTCAGAGGCTTTCTTGCTGTCAATCTTGTTCTTAATTACCTAATACAAAAAACTGTTTGGATAAATTTTAAATTATGCTGTGAATTTTGGAAGAGTAACTCTATTCTTTTTAAATATTGGAAGGTTAACTTGCATTTCCTTTAGTCCCCCTTCCTTTAATGCAGTTGGTAGAATTTTCTTATCTTCTCCTTTTTATTTTTTGGAGGTGAGAATACTGTTTTGAAGTTAATCTTGAATATCTCCTGTTTAGCCACCTCCTTAATTTCAATAATTTTAATTGATAAT